ACCAAGTCAGGATGTCACTGTTCACGGGGGTGGACGTGAGTCATCAGGCAGCGCTCAGGCTGGGAAACAGCCTGTGGCTGGGAATCGATTCGTTCATGCACCCATTCATTATTTATTCAACATATACTTATTAAGCTCCAAGGATGTGCCAGACGTCCCGCTGGCAGCTGGGCCCGCAGCTGTCAACAAAGCAGACCCAGCGCCCGCCCACGTGAGGCCTGGAGTCTAAGGTCATGGTGCTTCCTGTCCTGACAGCTCCTCCGCTGAAAGTGCTGTCGTGGCTGGGTGATGTAGAGCCCTGCCTGGGCCTCCACGCCAGGTTTACCTTGTTGTTGATCTGTGCCATCCACAGTCCGCCTGAGCAGAGAGCGAGGTCTCAGAGGAAGGGGGCTGCCCCAGGAGAGTTTGTGCCCAGCCAGGACACTTCAGATGCAGGCATCGCGGCGTCACTGGGAGCTCCTCTAGGGAAGTCACCTGTGTGCATACCAGTAACTCAGGAGCCACCCAAGGAGACCCTCTAAAGCTCTGTTCATGGTGTGATTGATGCTTCCCGTGTGCCCAGGAACTTTGGAGACCTTGATTCTACTGAATGCCTTTAGGACACATTGTTTAATTTAAAATTTGCAGCAGAGCAGTTGGCCTAGTGGTCAGTCTGTTCTTTAGATAACTAAAAATAATAGCAGACACTTTATGTCATTCTAATGGTTGATTTAGGTTTAAATAATTTTTAAGTCTTAAAAATTCCTGATTTATGCATAATGTCACAATCCAGTAAAGAGTGTATAAATGGGCTGTTAAACTCACTGTGTCCAAGTCAGTGGATTTTCTGTGTTGAAAAGAAAAAACTACAATTTATTGTTTTTTCCAAAAGTGTCAAACACCTTGAAGAATTGAGCGTTATTGTTTAAAAAAAAAAACTGGAAAGAGAAGGAATTTATCTGTTTGCTTTTGGTTTTGGTTATGTTTTCCATTGCTGATCACCCAAATTGTGACTAACGTATGGAGAAGATCTGCACAAGACAAAATAATCTGCCTGTCTTACAGACAAGTGAAAGAATTTTCCCTCTGCTTTTCAGACTTCTGAAACGAAATTGTTTTTCAAGGTAAAATTTAAAAATTCGCCAAAACTTCCTTCTGAGTTTATACTTGCTGCTAGCATTTTTCTAAGTCATAAATATTCCAGTGAAGTGAAATAATGTCACTGAAATGACTTGATGAAAAGCAGCTCAGGAAGAGAACCCCTTTTCCCTTCAGAATAGCAGTTTGTCCGCAGCACCGGAGAGCTCTGACCTTGGACGGCTCTGCCTCCATCCTGGGTCTAGGCTGGAACGGTCAAGCCATGGTCAGGTTTATAATACTTGACCTGCCAGGTGAGGCAAAAACAATCTCTTTTGACTCTGCTTCCAAAGTGCAGAGAACCAGATCCTCTGCGACTGAGCCCAGAAAGAAGCTAGGAGATGACGTCTCTCGTTTCTTTTTCTTTCTAACCATTTTTACAAACCCCAGCTTATTTCCTAAGCACGGCCGGGATGCCCTGAGAGTCATCCTTGTAAAACCAGCCAGGTCCCACAGGGCGTTACGGAGGGACTGCAGCCTCCTAAGACCGATGCTGACCCGGGGAGGGGTCTGTGCACCAGGGAGGCTGCCCACAGCTGCCCACCCCGTCCAAGAGCTCTCACTTCTCCGCAACCTGCGAGCTTCCCTGGACACAGACCATGTCAGAGTTCGTAGTGGCAACCCCTTCACGGAGGGATCATATTACATGCTGCATTGCTCCCATGACAGATTCCCCCATATTCTCACTTTTAGGCACAAAAACATGTGGAAGGCTCATTTGTTGGCTTAGACAGTGTCCCCATCACTTCTGATGTGTGAGTCTTCTGCTTATGAACGTTAGGACCTGCAGCTGATTTAGTTTTATTGCAGTGGATTGGCCTCCGTACTTTTCTGGCCTCCCTCGGCTCATACGAGGTGCAGCAGGGCTCCATCAGGAACACCGCTTCACCTGCCGGCCAGTCCGGGCTGTCTCGCCGCCTGCACCTGGATGCCGCCTTCACGGTTCTTTGTCCTGTGCAGTTACTCAGCTGAATGTCCATGGAGGAAATGCTGTCCCTGGAACAGGGCTCTGTCTTTTCTGGCTGGAGAGTTCTGCGGTTTCTGGTCGATACTTGATGCATGCTTGCTGCATACCAGGCTCTGTGCAGGCCCTGGTCGCACTGCACAGACAAGGCTCCTGCGCTTCTGCAGCTTTGTGAGCTTATAATGGGTTATTTGTCCAAAGGCCAGCTTCAGCGCTGCCTCCTTCATGAAGGCTTCCGTGATCCCCCCCCCCACCTGATGCCCCTTCTTAACTTCTGCCAGGGTTTGTAGCCGCTGATAGCATGCAGCGTCCCAGCTGTATCTGAATGGTGGTGGTGTGGTGTGATCCTTGAACACACTGCATGGTGCGTCCCCTGGGTGGAGGATGTAGGTTTATTCATCTCTCTCCAGTGACAAATACAAGGTTTGGCTCTGAGTCCCAGCAAAGTAAATGACTGTGAAATATGTCACCTGCTGTGGCCAGCACAGTGTCTTGCTAATAGTTGGTACTTAGAAACACTTTAGCTGAATAAATGATCATCTGGCATGTGGATTGTTCCAACTCTCCTCTTCCTTTTGTTCTTCCTGTTCCCAGGGGAGGGACCACGTCTGCCTCGCTCGCCTCTTATCCTCATTCGGCACCCGAGAAGGTCCCTCTGAGGCTCTTCCTGCAATGCGTGTTGTTAATGGTTTCTCCTCCCTCGTCCAGATGGTACCTGAGGAAAATGAGGCTGATGTGGGGACATTTTAGTAATTCGTCTATAAAACTAAATAAAAATATATGCGCATGTACGAAGGGGAAAAGGTTTTTACTCTTAAACAGAATGGTGCATTGACTAGTTTTGAGCCAAAGTCTGCCTCTGAGAAGATCTAGATTTTTAAGAATGAGTGATCCTGCTTGAAATGCGTCATCTGTTTATGGGAGATTATACCCTCTCGCCACGCGAGCTGGGGCAAGGAAGGAACAGGCCGGCAGGCAGACGGCTCTCCACTGTCTAGCCCCGGCGTCTGGAGCATCTGTGGGAAACGAGTGTTGCCTCTGGTACATATAATCACAGGATTGGGAGGACTTAACTCCCTTGCCTTTTAACCGCAGCACATAATGCTCTCCAGTGCCACAGAGGTGAATACAGCTAATACAGTTGTCTGTGTGAACTCAGTTTTTTAAAGATGATTTTATTTTTAAGACTTCAAAAGATTTAAGAAGCTAACAAGCTAGTGAATGACCTTCTTCGTTCCATTTCTCATCGTGTGGCGTTTTATTCCCCTTCACCGCGCCGGGGCCCTCCTAGGGCCCGGTGCCCGGGAAAGGGCCCTGCAGTGTCCTGGGGTCAGCGGTTTTCCGTGTGTAGAGTGACGCCTCGCAGAACTCCGTGGGTTTGTTGAGTGTCAGCTGTTACCTAAGTTTCTTTATAGCTCCTTTTTTCTCCTGAAAAATTGTCAACTCGGTGTTGACTGTGTTTAATTTTTGAGATCCAGTGAGAAGATTCATTTGAATGTATTTTCAGATAACGTTTTGGTTATTTCATCACATTTCTTTTAAAAACATGTTGTTGTTTTGTTCATTGTTGCCGGCATTTACTCCAACATGTGCAGTAACTTTGCTGAGGCTGAGAGCAAGGACACCACACGCCTGTGTGGTTCCAGAGAATGCCCAGGGCCAGCTCTCCCTGTGAACCAGCCAGCTCTGCCCTTTCACAGCCGCTGGCCTTGCCCTGGCACAGAACTTTCTAGAAGAGTGCTGTTTGTCACAGTGCCTGACCAGATCACAGCTGACATATACATGCACACACGTATACATAGGTGCAGGCAGACCTCACTTTATTTTTTGCACTTCCCGTGGCTTCCCCCACCTGGCCTTCTCATGTGGACCTCTATTCTCCATCTCTTCCAAGGCCTCTGACCCTCTGCCTGCCCTCTTTTGCTGGTCATCCTGAGAGCCCGTTCCCTGGCTCTTTTCTCCCTCTCCACATTTTTGTTGGATGATTTATATTCATGTCTTTAGAGACTGCATTTTTAACTAAGTGAAGGTTTGTGACAACTGCCTCTGTTGGCACCATTTTTCCAACAGCATTTGCTCACTTTGTATCTCTGGGTCACATTTTGATGATTCTTACAATATTTCAAACCCTCCACCAGCAAAAAGATTACAATTTGCTTAAGGGTCAGATGATGGTTATCATTTTCAGCAATAAAGTATTTTTTAATTAAGATGTCTGCATTGTTTTTTTTTAGACAATGCTGTTGCACACTTAATAGACTACAGTATAGTGGAAACATAACTTTTATGTGCTCTGGGAAACCAAAAAAATTCTTGTGACTCACTTTTTTTGTGATACTCACTTTATAGCGATGATCTGGAACCGAATCCACAATATCTCCAAGGTCTGCCTGTATGTATGTTTATTGAGTAGTACTTGTATTCGCTGGGAGTGAGTCAGACTAACACATTTATCCAACAGGATTAGTTTTCATTTCCTTTGAATTCTTCTTTAAGCCATTCTTTCTTGGGTTTTGTCCACCAAGAAAACAGGTAAAAATAATTTAAACTTTCAGTCCTCCCGTATCTGTGATGGTGACGTTTTGAGTCTTTGTGATAATGATGCTGGTCTTCAGAATTGGTGACTTGGGGTTTTTCTGGAGGGGGCAGGACATCTGGAGAAAAATCATCTCTGGCAGAACTCAAGTTGGGAAACATTGGACGGGTGAGCTCGCGGGTTGGACCGCCCCCGACACATCCCACCCCTGCTCCCCAGGGTAGCACCAGCAGGCGCAGCTCCTGGCCGGCTGGCCACTGACCTTGGTGTCAGTTGGGTGGTGCTGAAACTCGTAGGCACAACGGCACCAGCCGGGACCTCGGGAGGCTTTGGGGGCCGTCAGTCATGCTCGCCTGTCTCTCTCTCCCTCTCTCACCCCATCAGACTCGCTGTCTGTCTCCAGCAACGATGCCAGCCCGCCCGCCTCTGTGGCCTCCCTCCAGCCCCACATGATGGGGGCGCAGAGCTCCCCGGGCCCCAAGCGCCCGGGCAACACGCTGCGCAAGTGGCTGACCAGCCCGGTGCGGCGGCTGAGCAGCGGCAAGGCCGACGGGCACGTGAAGAAGCTGGCGCACAAGCACAAGAAGAGCAGGGAGGTGCGCAAGAGCGCTGACGCCGGCTCGCAGAAGGACTCGGACGACAGCGCGGCCACCCCGCAGGACGAGACCGTTGAAGAGGTGAGGGCCCCGCACGCACAGCCGCCCAGGCCCCACAGGGCCTCTGGCACCTCCTCCCAGAGCTGCGGGAACAGCTGCTGGTCCCGTGAATGCACTCACTCGGTGGTTTTCCATGTGTTCCCAGGGAGGACCCATGTCAGAGCCCAGCTGAGGTCCTTTAGCCGCCTGCTAGGGTTAAGGGGCCTACGTGTGGCTTCTGATCAAGGGATCAGGGGACCGAGAGCCCCCTCCCAAGGCATGGGCACCCCTGCCTGCTCCATGAGGAAGGGGGTGCCCTACTGCCTCAGCCCCCTCCTCCCTCCAATCACAGGCAAAGCCCAGGTTGCCGCCCATGTTGCAGAAGATTTCAGCGGTCCCTGAGGTTAACGCTCAGCCACAGTGGCAGCGTTTTGCAGGGAAACTCCAGTTTTAGACTTGAGGGGCCTGCAGGAATGTGTGCATCATTTAGTTATTTCTACCACCACGCCTGCCCCCATATTCATACTTATATTTATCTTGAGTAGAAAAAAACCCAGTTAATTTACTTTGCTAACCTAGTAATAAACACCGATTACTCCCACGTCATCAAAAATAAAAATGTGAAAAAAAATAGTGTACATAGTCAACCAGGAATTATTTTTAATTTCATTTTTGGGGGGGTGGGGGGCTTCAGTTCCCTCCTGATCCCCAAGATGGGCCTTCAGCAATGTGGTGTCAGTGAGGGGCCCTCAGTGTTTTTAGCTTGAACCTCCGCTACCCTCCAGTTCCCTCACAGACTCAAAAAGAAAAAGGCAGAGACAGAGAGAGAGAGAGAGGACAAGATTTGTATCATGTGATTTATTTTGCAGATGTGGGGTTTCTGCTGCTTTTTTCCTGGGCCTGCTTTTGCTGTGGGTTTTCACTGGAGTGTATGGTTCGTTTACATCCTCATCTGTTTTCTATACCATGTCCTCTTAGTAGAAATAAAACTGACATTTTTTTCCTAGAAGTAAAAATAGAGGAGAATTAATGTGATAATTCAGATTCTTAAAATGCATCTTGAATTGTGTTTTTCTTTATGCCCGCATGATTTCAGTGAATTTTATTCGTGCAAAGTACCAAAAGTGAAATGATAGAAGACTGGAGGAACTGAGGGGTATGGTCCAAATTTTTGAACTTTTTTTAATTGGCTTCTTAAAGGTGAGATATGTTCAGAGCCTGACGGTTAATGTTGGTAGGCCCTTCCAAAGACACTCCCAGCGGCCCTTTCCTCTTCCAAGTTGGCCAGCAAGGGAGTTAGATTGCAGGAGGGGATGAATGTTCCCATCGGGCTGGAAGGAGCTTGGGCCTGATTCCTGCTTCTCAGTTTCAGTCCCGGCTGTGCTTTTTCCAGTTAACCCTGGGGGCTCGGTTTCTGTGAGCTGACCGTGACAGCCAGGGCCTGGGTTCTAACGGGCGAATGTTGGTCTGGTTTCAGAGAGGCCGGAATGAGGGCCTGAGCAGCGGCACGCTCTCCAAGTCCTCGTCCTCAGGCATGCAGAGCTGCGGAGAGGAGGAAGGGGGAGGAGGGGGCGGACGCCGTGCCTCTGCCCCCACCCATGGCCATCCAGCAGCACAGCCTGCTCCAGCCGGACTCACAGGACGACAAGGTAAGGGGCCCTAGGCTGCCCTGAGCGAGGAGAGGGGGCCTCATGATTGCTGGTGTGCCCCAGCCTCACTGCAGGACATAGGGAACATCCCGGGGCTGGGAAAAGGTACCTGGAAGACATGCTGATTTTCCAGGCAGAATTCTGCCTGTTTTCCCTCTAAAAGTATGGATAACAAAAGCCACTTCCTAAGCTGTAGGAATATGCCCAGTCTCTCATACACAGGTGCTTATATAAATCCATGCAGTGCACTTTTTAATGGATGCTCTAGTAATTGCTACTTTTAAAGTCATTTTAATTTTTGTCGCCGTGCTGACGAGGGTCCCTGAGAGGCCAGTCAGAGAACTCACACGCCGCCTGCGTGGTTATGGCCTAAATGCACATGAGCCTGTCTGGGTCTCTCTGTTAGGTGTCTTTGCATATAGGTCTTGTTTTCAGATGAGATGCATTGCTGTCCAGTTCCTTTTTCCAACATGGCAAACATCTGGATCAAACTGGACTGTGGGGCTAGTTGTCAGAGTGCAGGAATCAGTTCAGAGCCATGAATCTACTCTTTGGATGTGTGAGGAGGCTTCGAGCCAAGTAAATCTTGTTTTCTGTTTTCTGTTTTTTGGGGTTTTTTTTTCCTTTTTTGGAGTTCTTACAGAATCTCAGATTGTTTTGCCCATCGCAGTGGTAGATCCCTAAAATGCCAGAGAGGAAACCTGATACCTGTGCCCTGCACATCCTCTCACGTTCTGGCACACTCTGCCTCTCCAAACTGGCAGGTGTTGAAAACTGCACTATAAAGTAATCACTGGTGATTTTTTTTTTGGCAGTAACTACATTTTGTGAATAAAACAGATGTTTTAATCAGTTTCCCCCTTCTTCCCCTTTCTCCTTCCCTGGCTCCCTCCTCTGCACTAACACAGTCACTGGCTGGATGGCCCGTATGTCATGAGCTGGGGTCGGCCCCCACCCAGTGATTGACAGCAGCAGGGCCCAGGCGGACCCTGCGTTAGTCTTAGCCCAAGGCCCCTTCCCTGTAGGAGCTGCTTCCTTCTCCTCCAGTGGCCTCGTGTACAGTGAGGGTGCCGTGGGTCTTGGCAGAAGGAGGGAACCTGGGTTCGAGCCTGGAGTTTGAGGGGCATCTCAGGTGCAGACCCCGTGCTGTGGGGGGCAGAAGGGCCTGGGATGAGAGAGGAGCTCACCCCCTGCTGCCCAGAGCAGACCCACCAGGGAGTGGGGCTCTGAGCACTCCTCAGTTACTTTCTAGCATTCATTCTAAGCTATACCTTTTTAAAGGCAAAAGACAGAAATTGCCTAAATCTGGATGGTTGGCCAAAAAGTGAGGAGCCAGGCCTGGTTGACTGATTCACCACATAAGAGAGTGTTTTTCTCCATGTAAAAGTGGATTGCACAATATTCTTCTTTTTGCTAAAATCATTTATTGGCTGTTGTGTTACCGCATTGGGTATTATCAATAGAAATTCTTCTTTTACAAGAATCTGTAGTGATGTTCCCAGGGACTATTATCTTGTGACTAATATTCTGTTTTGTTCTGTTTTCTCTTTTTGTAAACTTTCACTGCAGCATTATGTTGATTTGTGTTCTGTGTCTGTTTTGGCTCAGTTTCCTTACCTCTCCATTTGAATTTTTTTCCTTGTTCTCTTCACCTCATAGTCCAGATTCCATTAGACCAAGCCAACATTTGTTTTGCCAAGTGCATATCTGGATCCACATTGTAAAAGCCTTGTTGTAAGCGTATAATCCGTACCTGTCTGCTGTGAGACATGCATCGTTAGGACGGCTAGCCGTGTGTCGCATGCGTCTCTGCTGTCCTTAATATGAAGCAAGGTTCATATTACCTCCCTTCTAGTTTCCAGTAAATTAACGGTGCAAGTAATCCGCAAACACGCTGTGTTTGCTAATTACTGAAACTTGAACTCAGTAGCCCCTCCCCAGATCCCTTACCTGTCCACCCCTGTACACCCTGGCTCTGGCCGTAAATGGCATCTGATAGCTTGTGAGGCCACAGATCTCCTGTCCTCTGCACTAATCATTGGGGAAATGGATGGCACAGAAAATGGTGAGCTTGTCCCCCTCTTCCCTGTCTGGTCAGTGCTCCAGGTTCCTTTCCTTTTCCTGTTGCTTTCTTTTAGCCCCGTCCATGCAGTAAAGCCATTTTTAGTATCCTATTTTGTTTCCCAATTATTTAAAGGGTTCACTCATTCACCTGCAGGCCTTTCTCTCTTCCGTTGATCAGATTCTCCATTTTTTCCCTCCTTAGCCAGTAGCCCAGCCAGCAGTGGCAAAAGTTAGAATTTTCCCGTGCCTCTTTGAAAAACGTTCTGATGGTACATGACTGCAGATTAAAAACAGACTTTGTCTGCTTTCCACATGTGTCCCAGACAGGTCTTATTTAATATTTCATGTCAGAGTATTGTAAATTTTAAAAGATGGCTTTAAATAAATGCAAACAAAGACAAACTTGTGGTCGTTTTGTCTGGAATTACTTTTTAGAAGAGAATAAGCTGCAGGAGAAATTTCTGTCTGTCCGATGACTAACATGGGCATTCCCCTCCCCGTCTCTCTGACCTTCCTCCGCAGGCCTCCTCCCGGTTGTTGGTCCGCCCCACCAGCTCCGAAACGCCGAGCGCAGCCGAGCTCGTCAGTGCGATCGAGGAGCTCGTGAAAAGCAAGATGGTAAGGCTGCCCAGAGGCCCGGTCCGAGGGCTGGAAGGTGCCCCAGGTGCCGCCTGCAGGTGGGCCTTCCCTTGTCCACGGGTGGCTCTTGTCTGCAGGGTGGAGTCCGGAGCCCCCAAGCCCACCCTCGCTTCTGACCAACCACAGGTTTAAAGATCCCCAGGACCAGTCTCAGGTTCAGTAAGTGGCCTGAACGGCTCACAGAACTTAGAGAAGCCACAGTGGCGGTTCGTGACTGTGAAAGGATGCAGCTGAAAATCAGCCAGGGAGGAGGTGCAGGGGCAGGTACAGGAGAGTCCAGATTTGGGCTGCCCTTGTCCTCTTCTGGTAAAGTCCCGTGAACAGTGCTGACGATACGTGCAGAACATTGCAGACCAGAGATGCTCCTCCGAGCCTCAGTGCTCAGAGTTTTTATCTGGGCTCAGTCACATACACAAGAGTGACCACTTATATGGCTCAGCCCTGTCCTGTGCCTCTCCAGAGATCAAAATTGCACGTGGCCCAGAGCCCCCATCAAAAGTCACATTGTTAGCATAGACTGTCTTAGCCTAAGACCCCCAGCTAAACAGAGACATCATCAAGCAGGACATTCCAGGGGCCAAGGTCAGCCCTTTCTCGCACCTGTATCGTCCGCAGTGCTGGCAGCATCCTAGCCCGTGTAGTCGGCTCCAGTCTTGTCTGGAGGTGTGCCCAGGGTCGGGCACATTACGCAGATGCAGCAATAAAAATACCATTGTACTATAATTTATTTAAATAAATTCCTATATATATATATTTCTCAATTTTCACTGTTATAAGCACACATTTGTTATGTCTGTGATTATATCTGTAGGTAAGTTTCCAGCATTGGAATTGCTAGATCAAAGGGTTTACTATTGACCCTTCAACAACATGGGTTTGAATTTCACGGGTCCACTTACACGCAGGTGTTTTCCAATAGCAGATACTATGGCACGGCACAACCTGCAGCTGGTTGAACCTGCTGACGCAGAACCATAGATACAGAGGAACCATGTATGCAGAGGGTCTGCATCCCAACCCCAGCATCGTTCGGGGGTTAGCGGTACTTCCTTAAAGTTAGGAGTGTATCTTCCTTCGCCAGTAGTAACTAGGTACCTCTAATGAGGCTGGTTGACTAGGTCAAGGGGAAACTGTACCTAAAATTCAGACAGTTATTGCTGTGCTGTAGCTAGAATGCCCTCCAGGTGGTAGTGTGTGCTGTGGTCTGAGAAGGATGCAGTGGACTCCCAGGTTAGACAGGATGTTAGACTGAAAGGCTGCTAGGACTTGGTAGATAAACCAAGAACTTGATTCTACTGGTCAAAAATTTGTGATCATGTCAGTATGCACTTAGCTAAACCACATCCTGGCTGTCTCTTTGAGAGACAAGTTGATTAATGGTCTAAAAAGACACTTAAATTATACCTAGTGATTTTTTTAAGCATTCTTAAACATTTTAGAAACAACCATTTGCACATATTATATGACCATTAAAATCATTTTTATCTACTAATGGTATCTACTAATGATAAAAATGATTTTAATGGTCATATAATATGTTGGGACTGTTGGGAATCATGTGAATCATGTTAACACCCTCTTCCCTGTCCTGCTCCCCGTGACTGAGTGACTCCCACACGTCTCACCGTGTGCTGTGGACCCTCAGTCATCCTGCTTGCTTTCCTGTGGGCCAGCTCTTAGGCTGTCACACCTTCATAATCGGATTTTACCCTGTTGCACTGGGGAGGAGAGAGGCGAGGGTTCTACTGTTGTGCAGTCAGTGTCCCAGGAACTGAGTCTCCTCACCCTGAACCCTGAGGATTCTACCTGAAGAGGAAAAACCACCCTGCAGTCCTTTTCCTGGGACTTGCTCCTCTCTCTGCCCACACGTTCCTGATCAGTGTTGAAAGGCACTGGCTTTTCTGAGCACCAGCCGCGGGGCAGGAGCAGCCGGCGGCCACGGTGACCGTTTGATTTGACTTTGGGGCTTGCTCCTCTTTGTTGGCCTCAATACGAAGGGAGATATAAGAAAGAATGAAAATAAACAAAATAAACATCTAACTCAACGTATTAGAAGAAAAACAAAATTTTTTTAAAAAGTGAAAGGAATGAATTCATAGAGATAAAAGCAGAAATTAAAGAGTTGGAAAACAAAAATAGTAAAATAAGAAATAAAACCAAAAAGTTCCTTCTTTCAAAATGTACACTGCATGGATGGACTTGGGTCCCCAAAGCTGTGCTTAGTGATGACGTCCGCTTCAGCCTGTTACTCTCAAGGGGGGAAACGGGACAAGTATTAAGAGGTTTTAATTTGATGGGAAATAATAAGTGTTCTTGTAGCTTTTGTTGGGCTTTTTATTTAAAGATAAATAAAGATGGTTCAGATGTTGAAATACTTCTTGATCACCTCTGTATGTCCAGCTGGGGTGCTTTGGAAATTTTAAAAGTACTATTACCTGTACCCCTAGGAGCTTTGTAAATTCAGGTTAAGAAAGGAAATTAATTAATATGTACCAATTAGAAAGTAATCAGTCACACGGATCATTGTCACACTAATCCAGGGAGAAAAGTCATCAGTAGTCAGCTAAGAAGATTTGCTTGAGGTTCTGCAGAGGCTCTAACAATGAAAACAGTCGCCTGCAGAAACTACAATCCAGGGGAGAGAGAGAGTTTTGGATAAGTGAGGCCAGCATGACAACTACTTCCTACAGAAGAAGGATGTGTGAGTGTCACAGAGAGATTAATTTTAGCTGGGTGATCTGTGTGTACTAAAGGATGTCGAGGCTTCATGAATAACTAAGAAACGAATAATTTGCTTGAATTAAAATATAGGCTGCTGATATTGCTACGTAGCCTACCGACAAGTGATGTGGGCAGTGTGCTGGGGGAAGCCCACCCGATCCAGGCGACTCCACAGCTTCTGAAATGGCCATGATCTCACGTGGCGGGAGTGTACCTGACAAGAAAATGGCTAGATCTGAAATGGGTCTGGGGCTGTGATGTAAGCCAGTTTGTACTGTTTCTAATTATTTGATAACCAGGAACAGAATCTGTTAACATACAAATTCACTGTCCTTTTCATCTTAACTTTCCTCTTTTGTCCATCTCCTCTTACTCAGTTTTTAAATTAATGCTCGGGGTTTTGTTGTTAAATACTGTGTGATTTTACAAACATGGATTCTGTAATGTCACAGGCAGGCCCCCTGTATTTTCTGATGTATGAGATTTTCTTGCCCTAATTTCAGCCTCATGGACCGTGTGGGCAGGAAGTGTGACTGGTGATCTGGTTTCTTCCAGGCGCTGGAGGATCGACCCAGCTCCCTCCTTGTCGACCAGGGAGACAGTAGCAGCCCCTCCTTCAACCCTTCTGACAATTCCCTTCTCTCCTCCTCCTCGCCCATCGACGAGATGGAAGAAAGGAAATCGAGTTCTTTAAAGAGAAGGCAGTAAGACAGGCGTTTTTGTTGTCATTGTTTGGCGGCTTCCTCCTGTCTGTCATCTTCAAAGCTGTGACTGGGGTGCATGTCTGAGTCAGCACGAGGAAGAGACCTGGGGTCTCTCGCTGAGGGATTGTGCAAGTGGTCGCAGGGTGCTCAGACCCTCGGGGAGGCACAGTAAGCCCTAGCTGCAGTTTCTTCGTGTTTCATTTGTGTATTTTACTGTATTCATAAGTCAGAATGACACAAGAATATCTTCTGTCACTTCTGGTAAGAAACCACTATACATTCTATTGTATACGTAGTTGTGAAGAAAAAGAAAGCAACGTAAAATTAAATACAGTCCCCCAAACTTGAATACTTTTCAAACATACCTTAGTGGTAGAATTTTTTAGTTCTGTAAAGCAGCTTATAGTGAAAAAAAAAGCCCTCAAAACTATTACAAAAGGTTTAAAATTGCATTTGGAGAAGAGACCTGGTTTTATTGAGGGCTGTACGATGTTGTGCACATAGGTGAGCCTCATCAGTGCTGGCTGAATGAACAAACCTTTATAGGCCAATTGAGGTGGTTTGCTGTACCTGATCAAGTAATTGTCTTATATTACCTGTGTGGCCGCAAACAGTTACTGAACCTTGCAAAAAGAAACTTCTAAATGATGTGATCAGATCCAAGGCTTTAGACATCTGGGTTACCTTTTTTTTTTTGTATGTCCAATGAACCTTTGAATGACTGAATCATTAAAACACAAAGAAGCAAGAAACTTGCTTCCTTTAACATCGTGCCTTTATAACAAAGTTACATCTAAACTTCTCTTGGTCATCACACACGTGCTGAGTCCAGTCATGTGAATTCACCCTGGATGCAAGATGTCTCGTGACTTCAGCAGCTCCCATGGGTCACCCATGTGAACCTGTGAGTGACTCAGGACACACAGGAATTGGAGACCCAGTTGTGCAAGTTTGATAGGTTACTACATCATCCCTGCAGAAATCTCATCTGATAAGAACAAAAGAGCAAAATAATTCTTTTAGAAAATTTCTTAGCATGGATTGTAAACACTGCTTTTTCTCTTTTTTTTTTTCCCAGCTACGTTTTGCAAGAATTAGTGGAGACAGAGCGTGACTATGTGCGGGACCTCGGCTATGTGGTTGAGGTATGTGTTTTCAGAGATTTAATAACCTATATCAGCCCTGAGAGTTGTCATAGGGGTATCATGCTGGAGAATTGAATGCTAATACCGTCTCAAAAGCTTCAAAAACATTTTCGACGAAAACAAAACGCAGTAACAACAACCAACAAAATATTTCTGAAAAATCAATTTAGCCAGTTACCTCAACAATCTGTCTTCACTTTGAAAGGCCTTTTTTTTCTTGGCATGGTACATCTTGACATAGTCTCTTTTTTATAATTCAGTTTGTAAATACTGTCTCCAACCATTGAATTTATTACATGGAAATCTTGCCTTTAATTATTTTCAAGAGTGGGTACCACCACGGAAATGAGAACATCATTGGTTGAACCGTCATTGTAGCAACTTCTGCATCCACCTGGTTCAGAGCTTGGTCTGTGGCTACTACCCCAGGCCATTTGCTTGTAGTTTTCACAGAACGAATGTGTCACCACTTGCATTGACCAGAAGTTGCTGTGCACTTTGTAGCTATAGCAAAACTTCTGCCTTTCATACTAAATCGAGGGTCATCTCTAGGCTTATCCTACCATTAAGTTCAGGGCATAATCATACTAATAAACTCAACTCATCAAAAAGCTATTTTTGTAATAATCTTTATCACTTATTCTTTCAGCTTTGCTGATATGTACAGAGCAGTACTTTCTAGGTGTACATTCCATTAAAAGTAATGGCTATTACAGTTACTTCTATAACATAATAGATTGAACATGCTTGTTCTGTCTGCAGTTCATTACTAACAATGAAATAAGTAACTTGGAAACTTCAGAGGTCCTTATACAGACTGAATCCCATTTTGAGTTATAGAGAAATTTTAAACCACATTTTGGCAACCTAGTTAATCAACTGATGTTAAAAATCAATTTGTGAAAAGTATATTGTTAAATCCTTATTTAACAAATTATGTAAATAATCTAAAAAGAAAAGAAAATCCGTTTATATCAGATAAATACTGACAGCAAAGGAAACATGCTTCTGGACAAATATTTAATATTTACAAGCTGACAAAATAGTTTTATCAAACCATTTACATTTACTTAATCTTTCCAGGTCCTTAGAAGAGTTTTGACCTGTGAATATTAAACAGTTCAGGGCGAGAAAATCATGGCAATGAATGTAACTATATTTCAAGTGCCAGTTGAGAATACATTTCACAAAGGGTTTTTGTTCTTAAATAAAGAATTGGTTTACAAGACAGGCACAGGTCTGTTTTATCCTTTATGACCGCCAATCAGTAAGCCATCACTTGACTCAAACATGTTCAGTGAAATCATCTTATTTTTAAATCTTTCATTTTAGGGCTACATGGCACTTATGAAAGAAGATGGTGTTCCCGACGACATGAAGGGAAAAGACAAGATTGTGTTTGGCAACATCCATCAGATTTACGACTGGCACAGAGAGTACGTAAAACACATGCCGTGTGCGGTGGCGAGCGCTGCGTCTTCGCTCGCTCCGCTGCCTCGTGGCAGGCACATGGTGAAGGATATTTGTTGATTCGTTTCATGCCGTGACCTGTGTGGCCTTGTGGACGTAGTCGGTGTAAAGGAACTACTTCTGCCTTGAGGACTTTCGTGGTTGCATTTTGTGGCAGGTGGAAGCCTCTCACCTTCCCTCTGTGGGTCCATCCCAGGCCCGTGCTGGGGGTGGCTGGAAGCCCAGGCACCCAGCGTGACTGCCTAGTCCTGACCCCCAGCCCTTTGCTTCCCCTGTCTGTGCCTCCATTCTTCATCTCCACAACCTGGGTCAGAGTGGTACCCACCCCCGGGATTGCTGTGAAGAGTGACTGACTTAATATAATACATGTAAGGCGCTTAGAACCACATCTGCGTGGAGTATGCCTTAATAAGTGTTTCTGAGTAGAATTGCAGCCATGTCTTCGGTGAATACAAATTACTGTTAGAGTTTTTTTTTCAAGTCAGTAAGTGATAGTTCAGGTAGGCATACATCTTACCAACAAATACGGCCCAGAAGAAGTGAAGACAGTTTTGCTTCTGTGGTTATACCTAATTTTGATCTTAAAGGGAGCTAATGTTTGTGACCTCAAAATTGATTTTGATTATATTTGAGAAAATTTTACAAGGCTGGCACAGGTCGCATTCAGTATTTTGTATCTGTTATTATCCAATTTGAGCCTCTTAAAAATCACCATGGAAAGAATACGAAACTCACAGGTAAGAGGACCAAGTTTTTAAAAAGCAAAATGACCGATTGCTTTGAAACACTTATGTTTTTTTACCCCATATTCAAATGAGATGTTAGTGTTTGCATCATTTAAAAAACGAAAGTGAAACAAAAATGTTGATGATGCAAAGGAAGGGAAGGTTGCCAGTCAAGGGATGTCTCTCTCTGCCTTGCCTTTTTAAACTGTCCCCTTTTGCTTTCTGTCCTAACAATGTTTTCAGTGTGCATTGTATTTGTTAAGTATATACTTTACACTTCCCAATGGCTCGTGTCAAAACAGGCTATTTGGAAAATGTACACCTCAATCTAAAATTGGAAGGCCAAACTGGAAATGGGTCTCATATTTCTCCTCTCCTTTCAGCTTTTTTTTAGGAGAGTTGGAGAAGTGCCTTGAAGATCCAGAAAAACTGGGATCCCTTTTTGTTAAACATGTAAGTACAATAGCAGGATTTATCTTCTGCTCTCTGTTGTCATACTTGGTCATTGGTTTGCCACATTAAAGGAGAACGCACTTATAGTTTACAAAAATGCTTATATTAAGAACAAAATAGAACTGTACAGTGTCAGCTGGTTGGAATTAAAATTCCCCGTTGCTCTTCTACATGTAAATGGTCTGCTTTCCCGGTCACCTGGCTTCCAGTGGGCTGTTTAGCTCATGAATGGTACAGGATGGTCAGAAGGGAGACCAGAGCCAGAACAGAAGCAGGAACATTTGGGGATGTCTGTGGGCAAACAGGTGTCCGGTGCAGATGGTGATGCACCTAGACGTGCAGTGGGTTTAATGCAGTAGCCAAATATATGTGTACGTAACTAAAATAAGTATGTTAATGGCTAAATTTTTTTTTTTAGGAAAAATTACTATATTTTCAAAAAAACAGTGACCAGAGTTTTTGTATTTTTGCAGATCTCCTTAATGTGTGGCTTAATAGAAGAAAGATGCGTTTTTATATCTATTTCTGTATTGAACCTACTGTCATATGTTTTTTAGTTAAAATTTTTGGGGAAAAAATATCCTTACACAGATATTTGATTGGAAAGGGATGAGTATTTTAATAGCCTTTTCAGATAATTATAGACATTTTCTTAGATACTACACAAAAACTCATCAAGTGATCATTTCTTAAAGGTTAGTTACAACATGGAACCTGAAAACCCACTGGTGAACCTCTCCCTTGCTGTTACACTGTCATTGGACTGTCTCTCACGTAAAGGCTCCTTCACCCCTGCGCCAGCTTGCAGCTTCCTGCACTGGTCTGTTGGAAAATATTGGTTCACTGATTTAGACACATCTTCCAGATGTTGAAACATTTCAGTAAACAGTATGGAAAAATCAGATTTGTTCGTATCACCACGCATCTCTCCAGACAAGTCTTTAAGTATCGTCAAGTACAAGGTGGCAGATCCATGTTTTCCAAAATTCTAATTTTTTGCTTGAAAGCTCAAATTTTCATTACTAACAGACATTGCCAGTTGTTTGCCTTAAAACAGCAGGCTCTTCTGTTCCTGTTCAGGGAAATGTCTACCCCATACCCATGTGTAAATAATTAGAGTTTGTGTCCATCATTCTTTCAAGTAAAAATGGTGGTCCACGGAAACAAGCCGTTGTTTCAGGTCACAGCTCAGTCCCACGAGTGCATGGCCTTGGCTACTCTCATACACGGCAGAAGTGTCACGAGGACCTCTGTCTTGTCATAGAAATGTTAAAAAGATGTCTACTACTTGGTGGTTGAGTTTTATTAAAACGGCTTTTTATTCCTTCATTAAGGGCATTCTCAGGTGAAAGTGGCATGTGAAGGATATTTGCTAAGCTGCCTGCAGTTTCTCCCACCGCTGGTTTCGCACATCAGTGCAAATGGTAGCACAGTGGAGAGGGCAGGTGACAGAATAATAGTATTATTTTGAAAATAGTTTTGACCTAATGGATCCCCGAAGAGCCTCAGGGACCCCAGGGGGTGCCCACCACACTTGGAGGATCACACATTAAGGGATATCTCACTGTCTACTTCCTCCCTGCCTTCAGGACTTGAGATTAAGAGCTTTTTCCAACCTACCGAAAAGAGCCAGGCTTCCTGGGACCATTGGCAGGGATTGAAGGGGTGGGAGTGATGCTTGGCTTAATATTAAGCACTGTGCCCTTTCATTGCCTCTGATGTTTGCTGGGGAAAGTGCAGGGTTTGATGTATATGAGGGAGCGATAATGAAGGACTGTTTTTGGAGCCAGAAAGCAGAATGTCCACCCACGTCATGAATCTGGAATGCGCTCCCAAGAGTCTAAACCATGCGGTTTTATTTGAAGCACAGTTCCTTTATGAATGAGCTGACATGCGCACGTGCTCCTCTGTTCTAACCCAGCTGTTTGCCTTTCATTCCCAGGAGAGAAGGTTGCACATGTACATAGTTTATTGTCAGAATAAGCCAAAGTCCGAGCACATCGTCTCAGAATACATTGATACTTTTTTTGAGGTAAGAACTAAGTTAGAATCTTTTGTTAACAGTTGATTTCCAAAATTTGAAGTATCGTTTGTTTCCCAGGAGATTAAGCAATCATCCAGAAAGTTAGCCTGTTATGAGTTCTTAACCTCTATTTCCTTCCTAGAAGTCAGAGAAATGAGTGTGAGTTCAAGCTATGATCGTGTCTCTTAGCATTCAGAGGACTAGTGTCCTGGTTAAAGTAAGGGTTTTTTATTAAATCAGTTTCAAACTTAAGACTCATTACAAACCCAAAATAATTTATGATCTAAACTTTTAGCCTGGAAATAAAAATCCTTATATGAATAAAAGGAAGCAAATGAAAGAAGGCCTTTTAAAGCAAGTGTGGCAGACCATTTTGAGAAACAGCTCAGAAAGGTTCAGGTGTCAAATTTGGACGTTCTGAGCCGTCGCACAGCACTGGTTGGCTGTGTGCAGTGTGACCTCTTTCCTGGTTACTTCTACCGTGGTGTCGTCAGCATTCCTGACAATGACAGGCACTGAAAACAACTGCCTTTTAAAAGACAGCACTGAAGATCCTTGTTTCTGCTTTGAAACCACAGGACTTAAAGCAGCGCCTTGGCCACAGGCTGCAGCTCACAGATTTGCTGATCAAACCAGTGCAGAGAATCATGAAGTACCAGCTGCTGCTGAAGGTGAGGGCTGGCCGGGTCACGCCCGGTGGCGGGAGGGCGAGACTCGGGGGGCAGGGAGGCTTTGGCAGGTGACGGGGGTATTTCTGTAAAAAATACGAGACAGTCTTGTTATTCCTGATTTTAAATATTCCAGAGTAAATTTTTTTAATTGAATAAAACACCTTACACTATTTCCTCGATGTTTTCATTGACGTGAGGTTCTGAACCAAAATGTCAGTGAAAGTGAGCGTTTCTCCCCCACGGGTCTTTGATACTAATGAGCTTTCTTTGGCTCCATCCACCTTACATGTTTTCTCATCTTCTTGGCACTTCCAATCAAATTAAATGTTTAATCCCTGCCCGTTCCTCTGTCGGTTCCACAGTAGCCATTGATTGATTCGGATTCTTGAGCACAGCTGAGGGCAGAGTCACACCATTTTCCATGATAAAAGTGACTGTTTAAATATACTGCAATTCCTTCATGTATAAAACTTGGAACCTGGATGTAAAGAGAGATGGGAGCTTGTCCTGGAGTCAGGCGGCAGTCGTGACCTGCTTGGATAGATCTGGTCTGACTTTGCTCTGCTGGAGCTTGAAGTCCACATAGGAATCCCTTTCCCTTGTGTTACTGGGAGGCAAAGATGAGGACATGGGCCTCTAGGGCTTAGCCAGGGCCTGGCACATCATGCGTGATCAGAAAGGGGACTGCTGTTGTGACCGTCGCCTTCGTCATGGCCTTCTCTCCATTTCCCTCGCAGGACTTCCTCAAGTATTCCAAAAAAGCCAGCCTGGATACATCAGAACTGGAGGTACTTACACCCCGCTGGGCCTCCAGGGTCTGCCCCGGCTCCCCAGCCCGTCTCTCAATCCCCATGTGTCTGAAGTAGCCCGTCCCTGGGAGGGAGGGATGGTTGCAGCAGGTGGTGGCGGGTCTCCCCATCCTGGACGTGCCCCTGCAAGCTAGAGGTGGGAGAGGGAGAGGAACTGAATGTGGGGGTGTATTTGACGGTTAGCACACTTGCTTCGCCCCCGAGGAAGCGATCGCTCACTCTGCTTTCCCCCGCCCCGCAGAGAGCCGTGGAGGTCATGTGCATAGTCCCCAAGCGGTGCAACGACATGATGAACGTCGGGCGGCTGCAGGGATTTGACGTAATGCGGCTGTTCTTCTTTAAACTCGCTCCTCTGGCTGCCATCCCTTTCTTTGGTCTCGGATTCTGTATCTCCACCTGTAGAAAGCTGATCCTTTTTGCTTGGTTTTCTGTCTTCTCTCGCTCTCCTTCAACCTGATTGATGTTTTCTTTCAACTTCTTTCGGTATATTTGATTTGCTCCTTGGGGACCTTCCTCTGCTCCAAGCCCAGTGCCTCGTGGCGGAAACCGGCAGGGCTCTGCTTAGTCTCTTGGGCCCTCTGCTCCTGCAAGAGCGATGTTTCCTTTCCCGGCACGGAGTGGGAAGCAGGTGGCCAGTCCATCTGTCATCCCTGGAAGCATGACTCAGAGTCACTGTGCTCATCATTAGTCTGCAGACTTCCCTATGAGTTGCTAGACTACTCAGATTACACATTACCTATGAGTATTCTAAGGATATTCAAAACCAGAATCCTTCCCCCCCCCAATTTGATTATTGAGTGAAGAGACAGGAGTTTTTCCTTTTCTTGCCTACTGTTTTGCTAGAGGATTGGGTTTAACGTGCTGGGGCTGTGGTTCTCAGAGAAGTACACCCAGACTCTCCTGGAGAGCTTCTGGAAACCCAGGTTCCCAAGCAATGTGACCAGGTCCCACTGGGGGTGCTGGTGCCGCTGGGCATGGGACTGCACTTGAGAAGCGTTCTTCCACTGCAAACGAGATCCTGAGACCCACTGTCAGGCTTTGATTGTAACTCACGCCAGTGCAGTACACGAAGGTCGGCAAGAATTTGACATGGGTGATTTTTCTTTTTGGGGCTCAGAACTCATTAGAATAAAAGACATTTTTAGACTCTATAAACGAATACATGAAAGATACTTTATTATTCTGTGGGAGGAAAGCTAAAGAAAACAGAACTTCATCTGTCTTAACTTAGAATGCAATGTTTTCTTCTCCTATTCCTTTGCCCCCTTTTCCTTGTTCTAGGGTAAAATTGTTGCCCAGGGCAAGCTGCTCTTACAGGACACATTCTTGGTCACAGACCAAGACACGGGACTTCTGCCTCGCTGCAGAGAGAGGCGGGTGTTCCTCTTCGAGCAGATCGTCATTTTCAGCGAGCCACTTGATAAAAAAAAGGGCTTCTCCATGCCAGGATTCCTATTTAAGAACAGCGTCAAGGTAACCTGTGGGCATGTGTTTTCTCATGTGCTAACGCATACACCCGTCATGCTGATAAACTGTTTCCTTTTTAATGGTGGCATGTCCTGCTGTCTTGTTTATTAAATATTTAGAAAATTTTCTAATACATTTCAGAACCTTTAAATTCACTCCATCCGTCCGCCATCTGTGTCCTCAGTGGCCAGTGTCTTCCACATGTTTCTGTGCGGCTGCAGCCACTCATTTTTACCACGAGAGGCCCTCACCGTGGTTAGTTTTTGTGCTCCACCTTCTCTAGGACCAAGTGAAATTTGTTTAAGTTCAGGGGCCTGGATTGGGAGAGGAGAGCTTAGCCAGGGTCATCTTCCCCACTTAACAAAGAGCTATTCTGCACTCAGCTCAGCCTGGGGCTCGAGGGATGGACGAGGCAGGCGGTCCGTGCCCTGGGGTAGCTTGCTTTCTGATAGAAAAAAATTTATTGTCTGATAAACAATAAAATTATCGCAAATGACCCTGAGTCCTGTAAAAGGAACAAACCAAGGGTGAGAGAGAGGAGGCCTGAGGTCCCAGCAGATTACCATTTCTAGTTAATTGTTTAAGCTACTGGTTGAACTCCTGGTAATCCTCATGTACCTGAGTGAGAAGAGTCATTAAAAAGCTTTAAGGTAATGATTCCTGAGGCAATAAAAATGGCAGCTCAGCCAAAAAGTGGTTGTTTCAGTTTTGACCTAGGATGAACTGTGCCCTCGACCAGTGGGAATAAATGGGCTTTCATTTTTTTATGGTGGTAAAATACACATAACATAAAAATTACCATCTTAACCATTGTTCAGTGTACAGCCCAATGGCATTAAGGACATTCACATTGTTGTGCAGCTGTCACCACCGTCCACCTCCAGAACTCTTCATCTTCTAAAACTAAAACTCCATACTCATTAAACACTAACTCCGCATTCCACCTCCCCTGGCCCTGCAACCAGCCTTCCACGTACTGTCTCTGGGAATCTGACGACTCTAGGTACCTCACCTAAGTGGAATCATAACAGTGTTCATCTTTTGATGACTGGCTCATTTCACGTAGCATAATGTCCTCCAGGTTCAGCTGTGTTGTACCTTATGACAGGCTGTCCTTCCTTTTTAAGGCTGAAAAATAGTCTATGGTATATATAGACCAGACTTTGATTATCCATTCATCTGTTGATGGACACGCGGGTTGCTTCTGCCTTTCAGCCGTTGTGAGTAACACTTTTTTTCAGGTGAGTTGCCTTTGCCTGGAGGAAAATGTGGAAAACGATCCCTGTAAATTTGCTCTGACATCGAGGGCGGGTGACGTGGTGGAGACCTTCATCTTGCATTCATCCAGCCCAAGTGTTCGGCAAACGTGGATCCATGAAATCAACCAAATTTTAGAAAACCAGCGCAATTTTTTAAACGGTAATATGTGTTCTGTTCCTGGGTAGGGGTTTTCTTTCCCTAATGTACAGATTTCTGTTTCTCGTCTCCTATTACGTACAAATAATAACGATGCAACTTAGTGGACCGGGCATCATTCTGATCACGGTCCGTATGTTGCTTCATTTCATCTTCACAATGACCCTGTGTGGCAGGTACTCCTATTGTTCCCATTTTACAGATGAGGAAGCTGAGGCACAAAATGGATTTGTAATTTGCTCCAAGTCCCACAGATTGTTCACAGCAGAGTCAGGGTACAGAGCAGGCCGTCTGGCTCTTGGCTGTGTGCCCCGCACACTACGCTGTTCATTCCATCCCCCTGGCTCTCGTATCATATGTGCACCAGAGCCCTGTCCTGGGAAAGGAATGCATGAGAAAAAACTTAAGGCAGCAGATGGAATCGGCCAAAGATACTGGAGGCATTATTGAGGGCAACTTTAAAATTTGTGTTCAGTAGCATTGTACATCACGCCTCCCTCCTCATTAGGACAAGACATGTTTTTTCCTTCCCACTTCCGTGGCATGAGTGATTCTAGAAGAGCAATACAATAATGATACAGCACAACACCGTGCAGCAGTAAGGGGCCAGACCTCAGGGGAAAGGTCTTCTCCATGTGGAGAGAGAGAGACCACACTGACCTTATGTCGCAGTTACTTTGACTCCTTATAGCCCTGACCTGAAACTGCTTGCTCCTCTTCGTGACAAGTGACTTCAACTCTGGTTTTAATTTAGCGATCTCAGAAGAGCTTCAGGAATTCAGTGAGAAGCTAAATACTCATTCATTGTGTTTTCTTTCTCCTTTTCTCATGTTCACATTCCGTGTCTATGCCCCGGTCCAACAGAACATTATAATTTCTTTTCTTTTTTTCTTTTTTTTTTAACATTTTTTATTGAGTTATAGTCATTTTACAATGTTGTGTCAAATTCCAGTGTACAGCACAATTTTTCAGTTATACATGAACATATAT